GTAAAAGGCCACAGAGGGAAGCAGGCAGAAGATGGGCAGCAGCATCTTCCTGATGAAAGTAACAAAAATTGCAGTTACCAACCCGCTCACCAAGCGTGGCAACTATGGCAATATACCTCCCCATGAGCAACGACGCAAATAGACGGCCCCCAGACCATGAAACGGCAGGGCAGGGGGTGCTTCAGTCGAGTCGAGTCGTTTTAGGTGGCAACTCAATCTCCGGTGGAGGTTCAGTTGCCACCTAAAACGAATCGACCTGACAAATTAAAACGCACGCACCCTGAGGACTGACGAGAAGATCCTGGAGCTGCAAGAAGAGATAGACAAGTTGTGTTGGAATATTATAGGATTATCCGAGGTCCGAAGAGAGGGAGGACACGGTGATTCTCGAATCCGGCAACTCGTTCTATCACCGGGAGGAAGACCATCTGTCCCAAGGAGGTGTTGGATTTATCGTCCACAAGTCTCTCGTTAACAACTTTATAAAGATTGGGAGTGTGTTGACGAGGGTTGCGTACCTTGTACTCAGAATCGTCAAACGGTATTCGCTGAAGGTAATACAGGTTTACGCACCAACGTCGGCACATCCCGATGAGGAGGTAGAGGAAATGCATTAGGATATTTCTAAAAACACGCATTCCTTCAAAACTCACTATACGGTGTTAATGGGAGACTTCAAAGCAAAGCTAGGCACAAGAAAAATCGGTCCGCTGAAGGTAGGGAAATTTAGGATAGGGCAACGGAACCCAAGGGGCCAGCAGCTGGCCGACTTCATGGAGCAAGAGGGATTCTTTATGATGAACTCTTTTCTTTCAAAAGGGGCCCTATAGAAAGTGGACCTGGTCGAACCCCGACGGTTCGAGAAAAAATGAGATTGACTTCATTATGACGACTAGACAACTGTTCAGTGATGTCTCAGTGATCGCAAGGGTAAAAACTGGCAGCGATCACTGAATGGTTAGAGGCACACTGAACCTAAACGTTAAGTTGGAGAGATCTCGTCTAAAGAAGTCAACGCGAAGAAGCGATCGAGCGGAACAAGGGCTCCAAAGTCTTTGCCAGAGGTCTCTGTCAGAAAGAGCCAACTGTCAAGGCTGAAGACTGAGTGTGGCAGCATCGTTTCCGGAACACCTGAGAGTTTGAGTGAGATTGAGAGGTTCTATGGGCAATTGTACACATTATCGTTGGAGCCACACGCAAGTGTTAGTAACGATCCAATAGCAGGCTTTATCTGACACTATTCCGATATCCTGGACGTCAGTCTGAGCGAGATTAGAATGCCTCTTCAGCACCTTAAAAACGGCAAGGTCCCTGTAAGGTATGTGTTAATTATTGTAACGTCACCGTTCAGTCCGCCATTGAAGCCGTTACGAGGAAGACATCTTTTATTCAACTCCCAAGATATCGCATTGGCGACGAAAAAAATATATATATCGTAAAAGTTCGCGTGTGTATAAGCTTACCGGCCTAAACCATATCGATTGGTAAAATATCGAAATTTAAAGTGGCCACAGACAATTGGAGACTATATGTGTAAAGGCTCGAACAATTCTTTGTTGTGAACAAAATATCAAGTGAGCTACATGTACCTACATTAATCACGGTTATGGGGGCGGAGAGTTATGAACCACTCGTGAGTTTGTGTACCCCGGAAAAACCTACATCAAAAACGTTTTTAGAGCTAACAAAAATTTTGGAAAATTACTTTCAACCAAAACCCAGCGAGCTGGCTGAAAGATGTAAGGTATGTATTAATTATTGTAATTGATTTTGGAATTACAGCGGATCATCTGAAAGCGGATGGAAAACTGGTACTTAAGTCCTTCAGAAGCTCTTTAACTCCGTCCTCCATGGTGGCACTACGGAGGTGTGGAGCAGAAGTACGGTGGTCTTGTTCTTCAAGAGAGGAGACAACGCTCTCTTGAAGAACTACAGACAAATTTCCCTTCTGAGCCGCGTCTACGTGCCGTTTTCAAGTCATTACGAATCGTCTCGCTCGCAGACTCGACGACTTCCAGCCTCCCGAGCAAGCCGGTTTCAGAAAAGGCTTCAGTACCATACATATCCTACGGCAGATTGTACAGAAGACCGAAGAGTACAATCTGCCACTTTGCCTGGCGTATGTGAACTATGAGAAAGCCTTTGATTCCGTCAAAATTTGGGCGGTGCTACAGTCCCTTCAGCGGTGCCAAGTTGACTGTCGGTATATCGAAGTGCTGAAGTGTTTGTACAGTAGGGCTACGATGGATATCCGAGTACAGAACCAGAGTTTGAAACCTATCTAATTGCAGAGAGGTGTAAGACAGGGTGACGTTATATCCCTCAAACTCTTCATCGCTGTATTGGAAGATGTTTTCAAGCTACTGGGCTGTAAGAATACGGTATTAACATCAATGGCAAGTACATAACTCACCTTCGATTTGCCGACGATACAGTCCTTATGGCAGAATCTCTGGAGGACCTAAGCACTATGCTCAATGAACTCAATAGTGTCTCCCAACAGAGGTCTTAAGATGAGTAGGGACAAAACAAAGATCCTGTTTAATGTCCATGTCACACCTATGCTGGTAGTAGTTGGGATCACAAGGCTCGAAGTTGTTGACGAGTGAGTTTACCTGGGACAAATAGTCCGACTAGGTAAGTCCAACTTTGACCAAGAGGTTAATCGACGGATTCAACTCGGCTAGGCAGCGTTTGTGAAATTACAACACATCTTCTAGTGAGGTATACCTCAAAACCTAAAAACGAGACTGTACAACCAATGCGTGTTGCCAGTGGTTACTTATGGATCTGAAACCTGGTCCTTCACTGCTGGCCGTATAAGGACACACAAGGTGGTACGGAAAGGGCTATGCTCGGGTTTTCTCTGCGTGATAAACTTCGAAATGAGGATATCCCCAGTAAAACCAGAGTGACCGACTTAGCCCAACGGATTAGTAAGTTGAAGTGGCAATGGACCGGCCGACCGAAGAACCGACAATCGATGGGGGAAAGTGGCAGCTTCGTACCGGTAGGCGTATGTAGGGCGACCCCCCACTAGATGGAGTGACGACCTGGTAAGACATGCAGGAAGTCGATGGATGCAGGTGGCTCAAGACCGTGCTTTGTGGCATTTCTTGAAGAAGGGCTATGTTCAGCAGTGGACTTGTGAAGGACTGTAATGATGGTGATGATGAAAATAAACAACAAAACACATTCATAAACTGAAGGTATTAGCGTATTAGAGTAGGGTAACACCTACCTATTCATTAGTTAGAACGAAAATTTTTAGATAAATGTAAAATATTATCCATTAAACTCAATTTTCACTAAAATCCGAAAAAACCGTATTTAAATCTTAAAATCCGGATTTATAAAACTCTGGAAAATCCGGATTTTTAAGTTATTTTGAATTTCGAAGAATCCGGATTGCAATTACTATTACCAATCATGAATTTTTAATAACATGTAAGTCTATTTATGTCATTATATTACTTATTGCACAAAACAACTTATAAACTGTACTTCAAAACAAACAAATTAAATAAGCAAAATGGCGGATTGTATCGGTGCTACTGAAGTTAGCAAACGTGTCCTGGCCGAAAACTGTTTAGTTTCGCCATTTTGCTTACAAGCGCTTGCTAGCGCTTTTTTCTGCCAAACGCACCCACCCAATGTTTATCTGAGAGGCGTATGTTTATATTAGTGTAATCTCGTAGTATGTTTATGAATCTAGTATTAAAAATAATTTTAAAAAAAGAATTAGTGCTTTTCATAGTTCGAAAAACATTAATTGTTTACACGCAAAATACGTGTTTAGGTGTTTATTTGTAGAAACCAGCCTGTGTAACACACACGTAATACTAAGACCATTTTTATACTTTCTTTTTTTTTTTAAGAGGATACCTTGAAAATGAATCGAAGTTTTGGCGCGTCTTATTCCTTTGTCGGTGAAGCTAACGGACGACTCAGGGAGTGTCAAAATGAAAGTGATGCAATGACTTCATAGTACGCAAATTATGAGATAGCCATACCGAGCAAGCGCTCGGAACAAACTAAGTAAGCGCCAAACAACATTTTTATTTATTTTAATAAAACTTCGTTATGGATTAAAAAACTGGTTTATGAGAACTTAGATATGATTATTTACTATGCTTTAAAAATAATGCCATGAAATTATTCGTAAGAATATTGTGGTGTCATCGAGAAATGTAAATAATTAGAGCCTACTTTGCAATTTTTCTCTATCGAGAAAATTACATGATATCGTGTTTTCCTTTTATGCAATCCAAGGTCATATAGTCAAAAATCATATACCAAAATTTTGTTTTGCAATCTATAAAACTTAAAAAAGTATGTTAAATAGAAAAATCACCAACATTAAATTTTTTAATTTGCTTCGTAACGTCAGTAAGTGGTAAATGCTCCACCCAAAAAGTAAAGTGAACAGAACAAATCAGATGAAAATTATATCCCAATGTCAAATTCCACGACTTTTTCTGCCACCAGGGCGGCGCCACTTAAAATGAGGTGTAATATTTGACAGATTTCATAGTGGGGAATAATTTATTCGAAAATTGTAAAGGTTTATTTCTCTTTCTGTACTATTAGTTATATTTTATATTAGTTAATTAGATTAAAATAAATAAACCAAATCACAGATATTCATAAAAATAGCGAAATAAAAAAAAACTGTTAATAATATGCAAAAAATTAAAGAACAAACCACAGAGGCATTGTTTTGTGTATTAATATAATACTCTAGAAATTGATAAACTATTTAAAACGCAACATCTAAATTAAATGGCATCGCGTAACAAAAAACTTCACCTCAGTGTCAACTAGCGACATCTGGTGAGCGTAAGATTATTAACCCCTCATTGAAGTATTACCAAATAGTAAATAATTTAAATGGTAAAACAAAACATATTAAGGAAGGAAAAGAAGGAAAGATATGACAAATATGACATTCAATTCATTTATTTATCATATATACCACATAAATGATATGTTATTATAAATTATTTGACTGTTATAATACTTTCGGTTTGGAGTTTTGTAAGGTCAAGCTGTATTTTTTGTAATATATCTTCAGTTCTTTTAGATTTTTCAGCTTTAATATTGTCTTCTAGATCCACAATTTCCCTGGCTAAGTTTCCAGTTTCATTTACTAGGGTTACTATGGTATTACATTCAGAGTGTAATAATGCTAACAGTTTGTAAGCTTTTTTAGCTTGATCATCTTTTTTAGCATCCTGTAATAATATAGTTGTTGTTGTTGGTATCATATTGCAAACAACGCTAACAAAATCATATTATGTAATACCTTAAATAATGTTTCATCTGCGATTGAAAAACAACGGTCTAGCTGTCCCTCAAGAGAATTAATTTCCTTCTGTATTGTCCTCGTATCTTCTAGTATCTTTCTTATTTCCATATTTTGTTTATTTACATTGCCTATGATTTCAAGTATTCTTTTTGTATAAACATGTCTGAAAAGTTATATTAAATGTCAGAACAAAATAATAAAACTGATGAGAAACAAACATATCTTACCTTCTGTTCCCGCCTTTTAATTTTTCATACTTAATTTTAAGGTGCTTGCTTAGTTCTTCCTTTTTTTCACACTCTTCTTTCATGGTTCGTGCATTATTTTTTAAACTAACCAAGATCCTTTTACATTTAATTCTTTCAGACTGCAAATGAACACTGCATTAATAATCAGCTAAAACTTTATATTTTATTTTGTTTTATATATTACCTCAGATAAAGCAGTAGTCGTTCGCACTTCATCAATTTTAATTTTTAAACCTAAATTTCTTGAAGTTAGATCTTCACTTTTTCTATGCAATACACTTATAATTTTGCGTACTTTATTTAGTTTATCTACAGCTGTTTGATCTAAATTAATGTCTGTTATACCAATATCATATAAAATATTTTTAACATTTCTTAAATCAGCTTCTGCTTTTTCACAATATTTAATGGCCTAAAAAAGCATTTAATATTTAATTGCATTATAATAATAACAGTAATATTATATATTATAGTATGATAAATTATACAGACCATATAAATCTCAATCTTATTATTAAATAAATAAAATTATTAAAATATTATCCTTTAAAAATAAATAAATTAGACTGAATTCTAAATATCCCACTAATTCAACATATAATTTTAATGAGAACATTTTGCAATCTAAAAACAGAGTTTAATGCGAATTATTATTGTGATGACCAGTCGATCTAAACAAGCGACACACGTCTCCGCAATTATCTGGACACACTACACTATCGCGGCTGTAATACAAAATGATATTATAGATGTACCAATAAAAATTACCTGCGAATATTCAACATCCATAACATTTCTTTCACTTTCAATTGTATCTAGTTTTTGTCGTAAAACAAATGCCATTTCCTTTAGTTCCTTAAGTGGCTTTTTTATTTCACATGTTTCAACATTATAATTTATCTTTTCTTGAGCTGGTCTTAAAGCTATAGTTTTCGTGACAATTTGATTAATTTTTTTTAACTTTTCCGTTATTTCAATATCGTTGATTTCTGGCCTTTTAAATATTTCTGAAAGTAGAAGCTTCATTACACTAATGTTTTAAAAAATATTAAATGCCTTTGATTATACTTATTTTCTAAAACAATTATTATGCTAACAGTCCACCCTCATGCTAAATGGTCACTGCAGCCCATGAACACATGTAGCCGCATCCCACATGTCACCTCCAGTCTCCCAGTCTATAAAGCCCATATGCCGTGTAGTGTCGGAAATCAACCCATTTTATATTGTTTCCCTATTACTATTATTATTATTTATCTCTGGGCTGGAGCTCCCCAGTGCCAGCTCCTTCCACTTTGGCTCGAATCGTCGACGACTGGAGTGATTTTCGATCGGCTCTTATTAACTTACGGCGCTGCGAAAAGATTTTGCATCCCTTTGCATTTTCTTTCGCATCTACCACGGGGAGTGCTCTGAGGAATTGTTCGGATTAATCCCAACCGCCAAATTTCATGAACGCACGTCGCGGCAAAACTCCCAATACCATCCAAACCATTTGGATGCTTGGTGGTCCACCACTGTGTTGCACTGGGAGTTTTCTTCCGGGTACAACCTCTCTGTGGAATAGTTTACCACCGGTGATTTTTCCGGGTCCTACTAGAAAAGAGCCTACTCCTTTCTAAAACGGCAATGCACCTGCAATTCCCCTGGTATTGCAATTGTTCAAGGGCGGCGTTAGTCACTTACCATCAGGTGAGCCGTATGCTCATTTGCCCCCTCTTCTATGAAAACATATTTTAATATTCTCGGGAAGCATAAAAAGCAAAATTCGAAAAAAACGTTTTGTGCCAAACACAATTGAAGGCCTTTGATATGCTCAAACTAACTGCTTCTCGAGGTACCCCATGTGCAGATAATAACAAGGGCAGAAACAAGGATGTTATGGAAATTAAACAGAGGTTATAGAATAGAATTGGTGTTTACATTGCGATAAAGCTGATGCATCAGCCCAGGTCTGCATTCCTGCTTATTGCACTTTTACAAGTGCTACCTTCAATTGGCACCACAGATAATGGAATAAAAAGTTCCATTCCCTGAACCAGAAACAACATTGGGATCATCCTGCAATAAGCAAACTCGCCTCCAAGGGTAGGATGCACCATACAGCCATCAGGTAACAGTCCAAAGAACCAAGAATTGATTTATATTAGTTATATTAATTAGAAATTGATTTGGTTTTTGCCATTCTTGGGACTTGATGTCTGTATAGATGAGAAAAGTCAGCAAAAAGTCGAAGTGTATGATCCTCTATACCTGAAAATCGTGTGAGTGTAGTAGCCAGTTGTGACAGACTATGTTATGCCATGGCAAAGTTATAAACAGATCTCTCCATATGATTCAACTAACAAGAACTACGACATTTATTTATTCTTTATTGTAACATCTTACAACTATGGTAACAATGGACGGACTTCTGTTGGCATTCTCTACCAGTCAACCAAATCTTCAGGCATTTGGACATGGTTGATGAATCAGTCTGTGTTGACATTACTGCTGTGGGACCTATAAAAGCACTCATAGACGCGGAATGGTCATTGCTGTCTACACAAAGCCAAAAGATGGAGAGGTCCATTATTCCAGTCAAGGCATATGGGTCGGTACTCTTACCTATTTCTGATGCCAAATAGCAAAATATTTGGACTGTTGTGTTCCAGAAAAGGATATAGAGCCAATATAATTAATAACATGCTGTGAGGTATACCATCTTAGTTCTCAGTTAGAGGTGGCAACACATCTGTAGCCTTCTTTAAGTTGTCTGCTGCATGTGTCTATGGACTAAAGTATCACTTACCATCATTGCTATTAGCTAATATTGTTGACATCAAATTGATAGTCACTTAGTAGTATATCAATCACATCATATGTTTTATGAGCCTTATAGAAACGCTATATATAGCACAATGATGCAATGTACTACAATGCTAACTTAAATGGAAAATTTTAAAAACCCGAAACAAAAATGCGAATCCTTCAAATGACTGACCCGATTTTGATAAAACATATCTAAGAACCACCGCTACAAAACCTGTGTTTAAATAATAAAACGGCACCCAAATAGGTTCACCCGTTTAAGATCTACACACACAGACAGAGGTGCACACACAGACAGACACATAAAGGTCAAACATATAACAGCTCTCTTTTTTGTCAGGGGTTAAAAATAGACTTGATGTTTGCTAAAATAGCTATTTTTTAATTTATTTATGTTTTATGGGCAGCTGTACACATCTATTTTGAAGCCACACGCAAGTGTGAGTAATGATCCAAGAGCAAGTCTTATCGATACTATTCCGATGATATCCTGGACGTCAGTCTGAGAGAGATTAGAATGGCTTTCCAGCACCTTAAAAACGGCAAGGCCCCAGGTGAGGATGGAATAACAGCAGAGCTTCTAAAAGCGGGTGGAAAATCAGTACTTAAAGTCCTTCAGAAGCTCTTCCTCCTATTCTCCACGTTTCCGCTCCTCCATGGTAGAACTACTCCGGAAGCGTGGAGCAGAAGTGCCGTGCTCTTGTTCTTTAACAAACACAACAATGCTCTCTTGAAGAACTACAGACTGATTTCTGATTATCACTCAAATATAAAGTTTAATTACCACCGCAAAATATGTTGATTTAAGTCCTATCATCCGAGAAAGATGTTGATTTTGAAAATAAAAAGTCATGTTTGTTTGTCACTTGGGGTTTACAAAAAAAAGCAAGACTGGCTTCGCTCTTTTCCGATGGTGGTGAACTGAGTAAAGTTTGAGTGAAATTCACAGCTAGTGTGGCATTTGGCGCCGCAGTTATGTTGCTTGCCTACTTGCCCCAAGTGAACATTGAGCAGGGTCCCCCCTCCTGTTGAAATCACGGACAGCCTGAGCACCAATGCTCAGGAAGAGCATGGTGGCTTGGGTGAGGGTGTGTTCAAAGAGGGATTTTTAAGGACTATTAATACCAGTACCTTCCTGCAGTAGTCTATTATTTAATTACCATGTAAAGAGAAGATTGGGCTTTCAGTTACCTGGATTTGCCAGGCGAAAAGCATAAGTAATGAACAATACTGTGGGAGATTTGTTGTGAGACCTAATACCCTCCCATTTTGCTAATCCCCCTATACAATAGCAAAAGCTGGTCCATCGGTCTACTATAAAAATATCTTCTTTGCCTTGCTCAGTCACTTAGGCAGCAATCGATCTTCAGAAACTTATTCTACAAATATCTTATTATTTACATTACAATTTTAGTGCACTAGCAGTCTCTAGTACTGAATAAAATAACAAATTATCAAAGCTTAAATTTTGATTATTTTGCTCGGAAAAACTGACAAATTACTCACCTTTTGCAGATATGAAGTCACCTATTGATGATTCATTTCTCGGTAAGCAACAGGCAGGAATCCATATGGAATTCAATTCTTCACCAATTTTGTTCCCAATTTCCTGTAGTAGTACATTTTTCTTTTTCTTAGGTACATTTAAATTTGATAAGTGGTTATCTTCACTAGGTAGTTTTTCTATTAAGAACATGAAAACTTGCCTCAAATCAGCCTCATTATAGTATAAAAATGTCTGATATCCAACATCATTTTTATACCCTAAATCCTAAATTTTAATAGGTAAAGATAAGTTAAATTTTTTGTTATTTGATAAAATTATGAAGAATTATGATACAGTTACAGTACAAAAATATACCTTACAAATTGAGGCTATTTGAGCTGCAACTTCTATCTTCTGTGATATACCTGGTGGTAATTTGTTGGGAACTTTCAAAACTGGATTAATTGTACTTATACATCTTGATGTTGCTTCAATTATTACCTCAGCTGGTAAATCACAAACATTTTTAATATCTTCGCTGATGTTACTGAAAAAAAAAAATACACAAGTAATAAGAACAATTGCATAATACCTAAAATTACAGCAATTATGGGTGCAGGGAAAATGATATGTTATGTAGGTAATTTATGCAAAAAAATTAAACAAAAATTTGAATTACTCTTATGTATTTTCCTACTGTCGTGCAGTATGAACATAGTTAGGGAAGGGGATGGTTACAGTAAAGATGTGACCGTTTATAGTTTTCACACAAATTTTAGAAATATTTAAAACAGTAACATCAACAAATCAGATATTTCTGAAGATTATTTACCATTACCATTTTTGTTACTACTATACATATTACACTGCTGAACATAAGCCTACTGCTTAGATTGCCACATTTGACAACTGCAGTGTTTTATTTTTAGTCATCCTTATTTGAAAGACGATGCTGCCCATCCCCTGATTTGTTTCCTTCTGTCGCCTCTTCCTTTTTTCGCAGAAGAAGGAAGAGGAAAAATGGTCAAAAATAATAATGTTCACATTCACAAGAAACAAGGGAAGGAAACGAGGCAGTCCGTCCAAAAGTTGGGACGATAAAATAAAGGCTGTTGTAGGTGGATGGACAAGAAAGGCTGGTGATAGTTGGAAGCCTTTGTCGAAAGAGGCACACAGATAGGGATATTAAAGCAAAATTAGGTTTTAAGTAAATATGGAAGAATGTATCAATTACTACTTATCCAAATAAAAGCTTTTATAATTATTATGTTGCTTCTTACAACACCCACGGGATGGTATGGGGATAGAAGAATATTTTTTTTTTCAATTATAGTAGTTTCGCTTTCGCCTATTATATATTTTTTTAAATGCAGTAGTTGGAGTCCTTATAAAGTTGATCTATATTTTATAGTACTCTACAAGCACTTGTAAACAAATATATGAAATCAGTTTAGAATTTATATGTCCAAATTATTTTAACACATGAATTTAAAAGAAATAAAAGGTCACATGTTTCAGAGTATACACCTCAAGAAAGTAAGGTGTATAAACGGAAGTACATCGTAGTAATGATGAGTGAACGAACACCTCATGTAGGGTGGATAATCGGAAAAAGTGAAAAATGCTTTAAAAACACCAAGAAATGTGTTTCAACCCATTTTAAATTTCGTACATAACAGAAATTTAAAAATTTAAAAAATGTTTTAGGACTAGATTGAAAATAAAATCCATTCTATTACTCTCACTGAGCTTTCATATAGATAAAGATAAAAAAGCTCCTTACATGTTCAGTTGCCGAAGAAAGTGCAAAATGATAGAATCAACTTCTTCCATTACGTTTCGCAAATATTAGGTACCTAGGCACTTTTGCTATAGTTTTTGCATACAATGCACTTGGATACGAGTTTTCTTATCAATTAAAATAATGAGAGAATTATTGTAACATCATTTTAACTTAATTTAGAGCACAGGCTGGAGCAACTTCCATTGTAAAAATTATATGATTATATCTACTATTCAGTGTTGGTAAATAATTGGTGCGAAACGGTGCGAAATTATGGTGTTGCCAGTGTTTCCACATTGAATTACCGTAGGCACAGAACACTAATACCCTTAACCGTAGGTCTCTAGCATAGACAGAGAAACCTATAGACAAATTGGCGCATTCTTACGCATTCTCACACGAAAAAGATAGATTTATGCATACGTCTCGCGTAGAAATGAGATAGAGCGTTGTGATTGTTTGTCCCTTTCTTCGTGCCGGTTTTTTTGTTTAGCAAACTCTACAGTTTGTAGAGTTTGCTAAACAAAAAAAGCAAACTGTAGAGTTTGCTAAACAACTTTGACAGCGTAGCGATTTAAGGATTTTACAAGTTGGTTTAAATGAGAAAAAATGTGTTTTGTGAGCTTAACATTGGTGAATCTTGTTTAGTTCAGTTCTTAGAACAATTAAAATTTTTATCTAAATGTGTTTAAAAGTCATAAAGATTATTCTATAACCTAAAAATTCGTTATCGTTCTTTCTCACTCGAGGCCACGCCCATTATTAGTCTATAGGTTTCTCTGTCTACGGTCTCTAGGCTGTCGTCAAAAAGTCCCTAGTTATACATGAATTTAGTAACAATAAAAGTCCCCAAATGTCGCTAAATTTAATTTTATTAAAAAAAAACCGAAACAAAGATAAAATCGAACAATATATTCATCTAACATTAATATTATATATATATATATATATATATATATATATAATATTAATTTTTGTATTGTATTAGTAACATCCAGAGTACCTTTGTTTCGGTTCCTTTACATTTTATTATTTCTTTAACGGATAGAGTATAGTATTCCTTACGCCTAAAGTAGTCAGATGGTAACAAAAATTGAAGTAAGTGCAAATGTCGCTAAAAGTCGCCAGAATATTTTTTGTCGCTAAACATTGAATTAAACTCCCCAACTTAACAAAAAATTCGTTAGATTTAGCGACAAAGTCGCTAAAGTGGCAACACTGGGTGTTGCCAAGTTAGAAAATATTGTATTTTGGGTAGAATTATTGTATTTTTTGCTAAAGATTTTTTTATTTATTTAAGCTGTCTAAATTTAAATTTAATAGGCTTTTGCTATTTCTTTATATTTGCATAAACTAAAAATGTGTTACTAAATGTTTTTTTATTAAAATAATAAAACTTAGGGCATGGAATTATACAATATGAACTAAACAGGAATGGAAAATTTGAAGTCGTCTTCTTCTTCGAGTTCGAAATCTCGACATGTAGATGTAGACGGATTTGACTGCTGAGAAGTTCTTACATACAGAACATTGGAAACAATTTGACAATTTGAATTTGGCTGTCTAATTTTTGATGAGATGAACATTCACACAGGCCAAATTGTGGAAAGGCGAAAGAAATGTTGGTCACGTAGACATGGGGTATGAAAAAATTGACAAAGAAAAGAAAGCCACTAAAGCTTTTGTAATGATGCTCGTTAATCTTTCTGAAAATTGTAAAATACCAGTCGGTTATTTTTTAGTGGATGGTTTTACTAGTGAACTTATAGCAAATACTGTTAATATTTGTCTTGAAAAATGTAATTCCGTCGGTGTCAATGTCGAAGCTCTCGCATTCGATGGATGTTCTACGAATGTTAAAGCTGCAAACATTCTGGGTTGCAACATAAGTAGTACAAGTCAATTAAAAACAACATTCCCTCACCCTGTTACAAAAGTAAATATTGTAGTTTTCATGGACGCATGTCACATGATAAAGTTAGTAAGGAACGCGTTTGAAAAAAAAAGATAATTTTCAACGAGATGGTTACAGTAAAGATCAGCGAATAGAATGGAAATTTTTGATTCGGCTTTTAAACTCCAAACAAACCTCCAAAAAAATTTTTATTGAGGAGGCTATTGATTACATTAAAGGTCTAAAAATTTTTGCTAATGTGAAAAGAAAGATTAAACGACATAACAGACCACCATGAATTATGATGATTATTAGAGAAAAAAAAGTATTTTGGAATCTAGAAGCACAATGGGATTCTTAGGATTGATTGTGTGTTTAGAAAGTTTAAAACTCCTCTATTTAAATTTAGTTGAGTCGAATTCTCAATTGAAGTACATTTCGACGTATCGCCTGTCTCAGAATCATTTAGAGCTATTTTTTAGCTTGATAATAAAGCACGGTGGATACAATGATAACCCAAACGCTATACAACTCAAAGGAGAGAAACGGTATTCCTTTGGATAATTTTCCAATATTAACTGTCTCATCTGTAAATGCTATTAACTGTACCACTGAAATGAATCGTCACGCAGAAGAAGACAAGCCCATGGACACATCGACAGATACATATCAGGAGGAAAATGATTTAGTTTATTCAAATAACTGCACAGTTATCGCATACTTTGGATAACCCAACTGAAAACTTCTTTGGGCACCTCACAGAGAATATAGAACTCATTATTGGGTATATTGCTGGATGGGTAGCCAGAAGTTTAACAAAGAAGATTAAGTGTGGAATTTGTGTAAACAGTCTGGTTAGTAATGAAAAATTATCCTTTCATAAACTGATTGAATTAACCAATATGGGCGGACTTTGCTTTCCTTCTCCGGACCTGTTTGATGTATGCTAGAAACCGAAAAAAAATATAAGACACAATAATAGACCCCAATTTCTGGCAAAAAAGTGACTATATGTTTCTGTCAACAAAAACTCTAGCAAAGTTTATAAGAAAGAGCACTTTCACTGTTTTAAACTTGCACTCTGTTGATCAGCCGGCAGCATTGAATCATAGATTGCACCTTATTCGAGCCATAATTAAGAAGTATATAAATGTCAGAATGCATCACGAGTCTATCATGGAAAACACGGGGTAGGAAACACGGGGGGGGGGGGGGAAGACAAAGATTTAAAAAAATTGTTTTATTTGAAGGATAATAATTGTAATGTTATACACAAAAATATCCAAAATTTTTCGTCTTTTATTTTCGGCTTTTAAAATATTCTAATACTCAATTATTATAACAATAATATTACATATAACAAAATTAACTTGTTTACAACTTCAACTAAAGCTCTTTGAGATTAATTTGTTTTACTTACGTTTTCTTTGTTACCTGTAAATATCATCGCAAAAAGGAAATCGTTATATGTATCGGCTTGCAACTGAGTTATACTAACCAACTACCATAAAATGTGATAAAAAATCATGTATACATATACAAAGTTATGTCGTCGACCTACGCAAGGCAGTATTCACAATACAGAAATTCTCGATATTGTAGGGTTAATATTAAATAGTAAAAGGACCCAATAATGATACGAGTCGGTACACCTTAAAATAAAATTACGGTATTTTCGCCTAGTTTTATAAGATACTACACACTGTGAAATAATGGCAAAATTGTATAATTATATTACGAAATCCGACCCTGGTTACGTCGTGTTATGACGTTTGAATTATGACAGATGCGCTACTTTTTCTTGTATGAAAATGTTATGAGTAAATTATTTACATGGGCCTATCCTTACGCTAGTAATAAATAAATCAATGAACGGGAGTATCTTAATTGCAGTTTTCGATATGTTCACCTGTCAATGTCACTGTCAAATCAAATCAAACGGTTAGATTTGGAGTACGTTTCCCGAAAGAAGTAGCTATATTCATACTAAGGTTGGGCGTTTTCAGTTTTTATCTGCAACGGTTACATAACCGATATCTAGTTTTCATATCGATATTGAAAACAGTTTTCAGATATCGATATCAATAGTAATAGTTTGCTACTGAATGTGCAAACGGCAACCGAACCATAACCGCAAACTTTACTACCAGTGCAACACGTATTTTATGAATTACATAGATTATTACGTACATACATACATAAACACTCACGCCTGTCACCCAGAGGGGTAGGCAAAGACTACAGACTTCCATTTGGCACGATCCTGACACACCTCTCTCGCCTCCTTCACATCCATATACCTACGCATACATGTTCGTCGGTTAAGGGTGCTCCTAATTTAGCCCGTTTTCAATAAATCGCCAATTTGGTCGATACATTTTCGCCTAGGACGTCCTTTTCCGACTCTACGATTCACTTCTGCACCATAATTTTTTTTTGTCATTCTTTCCACATGACCAAACCACCGAAGCATTCCTTTCTTAATCCTGGTCACAACACATCTTGCAAACCACACTCTTCTCTTATCACACAATTTCTCACCCTATCATTCAGATTCAGCCCTAACATACTCGTTAACGACCGCATTTCTACTGCGTCCATTCTACTCTCGTGCTTCTTCTGCCACACCCAACTTTCACTACCATCCGTTAAAGTAGGGACTAACACAGCATTGTGAATTACCATACGTGCTTTTTTTGACAGATTTTGACATTAGATTTTGACAATAGAGTGTAGGGCCCCATTTACTCTATTGCCTGCATTCATTCGTCATTCTATATCCTTATCACATCTCCCATCCCTGCTAAATACGCTACCCAAATATACAAACTCATCTACTTGCTCGATCAACTCCCCTTCTATTCTTATTTCACATGTCGTTTTACTTACTTCTCTTTCAAAAACCATAACTTTCGTCTTACTTGCTTTCACTTTCATACCCCTTTCTTTTAGTGATCTGTTCATTAATGTAACCATCATTTGCAACTCGGCCGCCGATGACGCAAGAATAATTGATCATCGGCGTACAAAAGGCATTTGACGGTTAACTCACCCATTCTTAATTCGCATTCTTCAACTTTCAAAATTTGCAAACAACTGTCCATAAATAGGTTGAACAGCCATGGGGAAGCCACACAGCCCTGTCTGACACTTTTA